AGCCAAATTTTTTTTCTTAAATCAGTAAAACACAATTACATTTTATTTCTTTAATTTTAATTAAAATCCAAGTACTCAGGAGGCTGAGGCAGGAGGGTCATTACAAGTTCAAGACCAGCTTGGGCTACAGCTTAAGGGCCAGCCTAAGGATACCCTGTCTCAAAAAGACATTTTAAAAAAAAAGGGGGGGTGGAAATACCAACTCAGGCACCCCTTCTGTCCCTCTCTCGGACAGGAGCTTTTTTTCTCTCAATAAATATATTCTGCTTAAAAAAAAGCCTTTGGGGAGATGGCTCAGTAGAATAAGTGCTCCCCTGGCAAGCGGAAGGGCCTGAGTTCAATCCCTGGTTCCGCCAAAAAAAAAAAAAAAAAAAAAAAAAAATCAAAAAGACATAAATAAAGACACTTTATCAGAAATTGCTTAAGACAGATGATTATACTTAGTCTAGAAAATTCTGTAATTACCATGCCATGTACTATACAGGTTTTTTAACTCATGCTCAGAATTACATTCTTCTTTTTTTTTTCCTTTGGTGGAACTGGGGATTGAACTCAGGCCTTACACTTGCCAGGGAAGCGCTTATTCCTCTGAGCTATCTCCCTAGCCCCCAGAATTACTTTCTTTATACATACATGAGTGATAAAAATAATTCAGTGACTGTTTAGAATTTTTTTTTAAAAAGAATGCTGCTACCACATACCATCCAACAGAATGGCTGGCTTATGAAAACATTGTGTCCTTACCCACCCTATTCACCAGATGTAGCATCATGCAATCTCTAGGCTCTTCTCTAAAATCAGAATGGCAGGAGTATTGGTGCACACCTGTAATCGCAGCACTTGGAAGACTGAGGCAGGATAAGTTCAAGGCCAGCCTGAATTACACAGGGAAGCACTGTCTCAAAGATAAAAAAAAACACACACACACAAAAATTGAAAGGTAAATGTTTTGAATTGATTCAGGACATCGAGGCAGCCAAGAAAAAAGACATGAAAGAATTTTCAGAACTGCTTAAAAAAATGTCAAAAATTACTGAATAGATGTGTTTTTGAGGGGAATGTATGGTTTTGTATCCTTTAAGACATACTGGGGGGGCTGGTGAGATGGCTCAGTGGTCTAAAGCACCTACTTAGAACAAGCTCAACAAAGCAGAGGGACCACGGTTCAATCCCCC